ACTCATGGCTCCTACATTAATTTTATTATCTTCTGAATTGCTGCAATGTCATTCTTCAAAACTTAGATGATCGTCTTTGATTAATAACGTTTACTGGAAACGTATACAGAATAATATGAAACACCTCATTAAAGATGTACATTTCTATTAGCATGTTTGGTTGCATCCCTTTCTTTAGCCGTCATTAGCTGGAATCACAGATGATAGTTTCGTTGGACGACGTGTGTCATTTTTACACAAAATGCTTTTTACAAAGAGTCGATCTTTTGGCAAATGAGTGGAGCATCGAGTGATTATTTCGTGGCATCACTTGCCGATGACTTTGTGAGTCCAGGAGACAAAAAGGCGCTGTGGTGGAGGCAGCCTCGTCATTGTTGCGCCCGCCCTTGTGCTGAACCTGCTAAACCTGATTACAGGCCTCCAAAAAGCTGTTGAATGGACGTCAGCAGCCTCCAGTCCTCCTCCCGAGGAGCCGCCTTCTGAAAACACTGATCAGATTTGTCAGTGAGGGTGGTCGTGGGACGGCAACCGAACGTTACTGCTCGCTTTAGATAACATTAAACTCCACGCTGGGTTTTTGTTCCCATTCGAGCTGTCTTGGGTTGTTACGTATGAAAGACAGGAAGTCTGAATCCGTGTTTCTGAGACTGTCATCTTTCAGGGTCGTAATGCTCAGCCATGGCACCGACTCCTTATTTAGCTCATGATACGATTTCCAGCATATAAATCCCACCGACTTTCACCAGTGGGACTTTAAACAGACGGTAATATTGTGGAATGTATGCTAATATACCCAATTATTATTCAGAGAATGTTGCTCCAATATATGCTTATTTTTGTAAGCAGGATAACACATTGTTAAACCATAATGTTTTATCTTTTCTTACATTTGCAAAAAAAAAAAAGAAGAAGCTAAATCTCATTGTTGCTTTGTTTTTTTACCTCATTGTTCCTGTCATAAGCAATACAAGCCGACAGTATGGGTGTGTTTTTTTCCTTTCCTGCTTTTTTTTACCACCCGGCTTTGATTCTGTTTCCTCCAGGAGAAGAAGTGGACAGAAACCTGTGCTCATCCTCCCCGGCTCCGGAGCCCGTCCCCTGCCAGGTGCCTTGCTCGAGGGACTGCGTGCTCAGCGACTGGACGTCCTGGTCCACCTGCTCTCAGACGTGCTCCAGCAAGACCATCGAGGGCAAGCAGATGAGGACGCGCTCCGTTCTGGCCTACAACGCCGGGGAAGGTGAGCCTCCGCCTCCCGACGCTCTCGTGCGCCATCGCGTATGGAAATGTATGCAGATGAGGCCCGGATATTGGCTTAGTCATGGCCTTTCAAGTCGTCCTTTGCTGTCACTCGCTGAATGTCTGGATTTCACACTTGTCTGCATGTGCATTTGTCCTTATCTCAAACAGTCTGCTTATCTGGCCTGGTGATTATTTCTGTTGGTCTGTCTCCTCGCCTGACACTCACTTTTTATCTGTTTTTAAGATCATTCCTCCGCATATGCTTGTTCTCTCTGCTTTAAATCTCTGTGTGCGTCCGCCTGCCTGCCTGTCTGTCTCCCTGTCTGTCTTTTTTTGTCGCATCACCCAACATTTTCCTGTGTGTGTGTGTGTGTGTGTGTGTGTTCCTCACAGTCACTGCCATGGTCGTGGCGTGGATCACCGTGATGGAGGGTAACGCTCGTAATTAAAGTTTGCTGGTAGCTGTTTTTAAACCTCTAGCTACGTGTCTGTATGTGGCAAAAAATTAAAATTGTTAGCTCGTTGTTTTGAGTCCTGTACATTATCATAACAGCTTAAGGGTGACTTATAATTGATTCTGAGCGTATTCAGCGAGCTGTAGTTCAGTCGGGCCTAGTTGGCCATGTGTGAAATAGCTTGATTGTGTTAGCTGTTGTTCTGCCGTGGTGTTAGTTTGTGTCGTGCATGCTCCACCTGTCACATTAACATATCTGACATCTGTATTTATCAAAAGGTCTTTCGCGGGTGCCGAAGTTTCCAGAACTTTTCGGTAAATCTTTAGACAGACTAGCGGTGTCGTAGTCGTAGCTGTAGAGTGTCGCACAACACAAAGGAGAAGTATATTCAACCACATTCTATTTTTTGAACACTCCTACTCAAGAACAATACCTGAAAGCAGCTTTGTCTCTGCACATAAGTTCCCCCTGCAGAGTAGATTGTCTGATTAGATTTTTGAGCTCCTTGGCAGATTTTGCTGCTCCGGTGTTGCATATTAATGAAGAGACGGGAGAGAAAAAAATTAAAAATGTTGAAACCACAAAAACCACTCAAAGCCTAAGACATAGGCTTTATATTAATATGCAACCGCCAGTGTTTGCCTGGAATGCTGTGCTAATTAATACATTAATAAGCTTAATTAATGACCTGTTTAGCATAACTGCTTACGTTTAATTCTATGGTGATTATGGGGGGACTTTAGAAAGCCCGAGTGCCTCTTACTGTTTGACACCCATCAGCTGGATGATATTCAAGAGTCACGCTCGGTGTCACTTGCTCCAGCTATTTGTGGATGAGCCGGGTAATTAAAGTTTATCCAGCCAACATGAGTACACTGAAATAATCGAATGACGCGGGATTACAGCTCCCACAAAATTTAATGGACTATAAAAGGCAACATTTAGATCCTACCTGCCCGATGAAAAGCAGGTCCAGACACTTTCTTTACTTTATACAGCCAGTAGTTATGAATTATTCTACAAGGATTGGGTTGATTTTGTTGTAGAGGGCATCTCTATAGACATTAAGAAAGTCATTTTAAAAAAGAAAAAGGCTTAAACATGACTTTCTATTGTGTGCAAATTATTTGGAACCTTTCTCATATGCTATAAAACTGTCAAAGGCATTAGAAGTGTTTTTTTTTTTAAATTTTTTTGCTTTGAATGACATTTAGATCTGGCTTTGCATTTTTGAAACAGAGCTTTGTGGTGCAGATTTAAATGGTCAAACAAATGAGTCATATCGCCTTGTGTGGTAGCAACAGTGCCAACAGAGGACCTGTAACTTAGCTTAACTTAACTTAACTTAACTTAACTTAACTTAACTTAACTTAACTTAACTTAACTTTATTGTCCTCTGAGGGAAATTTTCTCTGCAGGCAGGCAAGAAGCACAAAAACACAGAAAACAGAGTCACAGTCGATCACATCCGGACACCACAGTAAAATGGACAGCGCACAACGGCAGAGAAAACAAATGCAAAACAACCGTCATCCTCCCTGTTTTTGGTCAATATCATCCTTTCTGTAGCCAAAATATTGATTTAGAGAGGTGACAGATTATTTTAATACATATTAAGGTCATGATTAGATTATTTATCATAATTATTTTTTCTCTCTTTTGTGTCAAAATGTTTTTTGTTGCACTCACTAATCAGACGACCATGTTGCGCTACATTGCTGCTAATATGCAAACATTTGCTTCAATATACGACTTAAAATAAGATTCTTCTTTGCCTGAATTCAATGTTTTAGGGACAAAATCTAAAATAAAGTGTACTGAAAGGGCGTTACTTGCAGAACATCTGCTGTTCCCTGAACGCCTCACATGCAGGTTAGCCGCTAGCTGGACGGCTGAGCGCAGAGAAGCCACTAGTCTCCACTCCATTAGGTGTGAGAGCAGTAATTACTCTGAAAGCTGTGAGATAAGGCATCGTAATGTGAGATTTATTTAAGCTGAAGCCAAATTGTTTGATCCACATGGGCTGTTTTCAACAAGTGGAGCAGCGTCGATATCAATATCACAGTTGATTAATTAATTTAATTCTAGGACGCCGAAATCGTGATTGTGCCTCGTAGTCCATTAATTATGCAGCTCTACAAGTGACATAGAGTTTTGCTGTGAAACCGAAGCTTCCCTTTCAGTGCTTCTCTCTTGTTCGTCCCTCATGCCAACAAACTAAATAAAGTTAAAAACAAACACACAGAAGTGTTCTACCAGACAGCAGCGCCGTGCAAAATTAGAACCGTTTTGTTTTACAGAACAAAACAAAAGTTCAAGGTTGTGTTTGAGTTAATTTGCCTTCCTTCACATCTCATGTTTTGGGGAGTCGCCGTCGGGAGTTCGGCAGTTGGTACATATTCAAGTAACATCCACACGAATGCGAGGACACAAGGTCTCCCAGCAGAACGATTACTTTACCTGTCAGCAGGATTAATGTCGTGGCTAATTGGTGTGTATTCCCTCGTGGTGCATGTGATCCTCGTGTAATACGCCGTGTACACACATTATCACCTCGCTGCTGCATTCCAATACCTCACATTTGTCGGCTTTATTTGTTGCTCTATTTGTTTGCTGCCGCCCGTCGCCCCCGTCGTCCAACACGCGGCGCTTTCTAGGTCATTGTTCAGCAGCAGCTCAGGCTCATTGGAGACGTCATGTCATGCCAGCGCTGGAGCTAGCGTGGCCCCGTTGTTAGTCAGCGAAGGTGACATGGCACAGTCAGCGGAAAGGAAGTCATCCTCAGTAACCATTAGGGTGATGTTTGTCTGAGCTGGCAGTCTGTGATTCAGGCCCCTCTGTGTGCACGCCGCCGCCGCCGCCGCCGCCGCCGCTCATTTAGGACTTGGCTCTCTGTCAACTCCAGCACAGAAATACAGGTGTGGAGGACTCGCAGGCCTGCAACGCCTCTCAATCTTTGCTGAAAGCCCTAAGTGTCTGCAATTACTCTAAACCAGAGAGCCTCTCTCAGTCCATCGACCCAACAACTGACTGACTGCTGCCTCACAAGAGAAATGAGAGGGAGACGGGCAGCAAGAGGCAGCCAGCGGTAGGAACGGCATGAAGAATAGATGGAGGCTGCACAAAGTAAAGTGGTGCATTGAAAGTCTGACCCTCTGACGTGCAGCAGGAGCTGAACATTTAAACCCCTCGTATGGACATAAACAGTCATCAGAAAGCAAAACGTGTGAACACAGCTTTATATGCATAGTTTTTTCTCTGTAGAAACACAATATAAAAAGCCTAGATGCTGAATAAACAGTATGAACACCAGGCTGTCGAGTGGATGCTGAAATGTGCCACCTTTCAAATGAATGCTTTGTGGTGACAGCAAAAAGATGACGGTTGTATTCAGAACAATAACTTCACTGTTGATTATTTCCTTGATAAATTGATTCATTGTTTGATTCAAAAACTTTCAGTGGGAGCTTTCAATCACCCAAAATGACGTCTAAAAATGTCTTGTTTTGTCCACAACCCAAAGATAATCAGTTTACCGTCAGAGAGGAGAAAAGAAACCAGAGAATATTACAATTTTAGAGGCTATAATCATAGAATTTAGTCTTCTTTTTCTTAAAAAATTACCCATCGTTCGATTGTCAAAACAGTTGGCAGAAGTTCAAATGACTTGTGGGGAAAGTTTTAGGTTAAAAAGAGGTTCTGTTCATCACATTCACAGTGTAAGAAGTCCTACACGACTAGTTTATATCTCTGAAATTTCAAGGATTATCTCAAAATTTCAAAAATGTGTAGGTCGTGCCTTCAAAACAAGAACTGTAATCCCCTTCCAGGCAACAGGAGAAAAGGAGCAAGTAAAAATTTAGAAAAATACATGGACAAGAAGCATTAAATAACTTTATTTATGTGGCATTTTTAAAGACAAGAGTTCACAAAGTGCTCTGAAAGACAAAGCACAAGCAGGCTACCCAGAAGGCAGAGCGTCGGTGAGGCCAAACGGAGCAAGGAGAAATTAAACAAGCATGACGAAAGATGGAAGAATACAATGAATAAGCTAATAAAAGCAATAAAAGCTTCAATAAGCAATAAAAGACTTCATGACACAAAAGAAAGTCTTGTAATTACGATGCAGATAAAATTAAAACAGAAGATAACACGATGATGTCTTGAGCCTTTCTCACCTCGCATAAAATCCAGCAGCTGCATTTAAATCAATCAACCTGAGCCTCGGTGAGTCGCCTCGGGGAAACAAACGCTCTCATCTCTTGAAACCGAAAATTGGCTCATTTGCAGTTTCTTCTCTAAAGTTCTTTTATTTAACAAATCCCGTCTCCTAGCTGCTTGGAAATTATTTTTCTACGGTTCATTTCTTATGATGATGAGGTTGTCACAAAGCATTAGAAGCTGCCTGTATGTGTGATTTTGTTTTATTAAACACTGAATGAGTGACCAGGTTGAAAACTGTATGCGGCTCGGTTCCATTTACTTCAATAAAAGCGTGGCGTGCTCTCGCAAACAACGCTATTATCATCCAAGATTAGTCGGTCTTAGTTTCAAGAGTTCCGGGGAGACGAGCAAGTTTGTCTGACAGGTGTGCTGGATTTAGCAGAGCTCCTTCCTGGAGTGCGCACCATGCAAGGAAAATGAGCTTAAGCTCCTTTTCTGAATAACAGATTGTTTAAAGGGTGATTACCAATATGTTGGTATTAAAGCAGCATTAGCTGTTTTCGGGTTTGTTTGGCCGCTTGGGACAGAAGAACAAACAGTAAACACAGTGCTGAAGTATTATTTCCTCAAGTTATGTAATGTAGGCACTAAACTTTTGCATATTTACGCATCTGGCAGACACGGAGCAGCATTCTAGCTTCATCTGAGCTTATGTTGAGTCTGATGTATAATGTATATAATAACACCCGTCCTATTAGTTCTGTCTTGTTCTCCACCAACTCTCGAGGGAAACGTCTCAGCTGTTAAATGTTCCACTTTGATCACCAGCTAGTTGCTAATCGGTTGTTTGGTCCCTCAAAGTACAGTCGTGACTCAATAATCCGACACTAAATGTAAAACCTTCCTTTATGTCGGATTGTCAAGACGGAGGTCCAGATACCAGGAGGGCTTGATGCTGGAAGGCTCATTAGTTGTTAATATCAAATTGTTCATAGTTGTTATAGTAACTAGTGTATTGTTAGAACACTACACGTCGCTGGATTTCACGCTTGTGACCCGTCGGTTGACATCAAGACAAGACACTGAGGCGGTGAATCACCATCTGCGCACTTCCTGCCTCTGGATTTAGATCTGCAGTTTTAAAAAAAGATGATTTGTAAATGCACATGAGGAAGGTATGGTGTTGTGTTCACTTGATAAAATGTGAACCAACAGGTTGTTAAAGTTCCTGGACCACAGTTTGGTAACCACTTGTTCTGACGGACCACCACTTATTTTTGGCGTACCGGCAGCATATCGGTGCGTTTTGGTTTGAATACCTCGTGGTTTTGGGGGGTGGAGGGGGGACAACAAACAAATATTTTTCAGTTGAGTCAGATAATACGCCGTTATCCTGATTGGTGACATTAAATGTCATGTCAGAGTCAGAATCCAAGGCTGTCGCTATGTTAAGGCTGTTTTTATGGGTTCGTTTTTCCTAAAAACCTGTGAGATAGCAGGTTTAGGATTGTTAAGGGTCGATTATGGAGTCACGACTGTACGTCTCTTAGAGCTTTACTAGTGAAGTTGTGGCCCATGAAACCAAACGATGCGGAAAAAGCTCCAGTGGTGGATGAATCTCCATCAGTTTATCACGATCATTTGACTCCCCTACCACAGTAGCTTTACCGCCTCCCGTAAACAAGAACAGGTTTGTTTTCTCTCGCCGATGAGCTGCTGACCTTCGCTGTGTTTTGGTATCGTCAGGTGGCGCCCTGTGCCCCAACAGCAGCGCCCTTCAGGAGGTGCGGAACTGTAACGAGCATGCCTGTACGGTTTACCACTGGCAGACGGGGCCCTGGGGCCCTTGCACCGAGGACCCCTCCGCTTCGCCCCTCAACGCCTCTCTGGGCGGCCGTGCCGGCGGCGACGGGCAGGGCCCCTGCTCCATGGGGATGCAGACTCGCAAGGTCATCTGTGTCCGAGTCAACGTGGGACAAGTGCCGCCCAAAAAGTAAGCTGCTTTGTTTTATTCTGTTTGTGTTGTTTTAACCGGTGGAATCTGCTCCAGCCAAACAAACTGAGTTTAGATTTAGTGATTTCCTGCCGTCCTGATTTGTAGTCTGTGAAATCAGCTCCTGGGGTGCGGCGTGGTAATGAAAATTGCTACCATCTCACAAGTAAAACTCACTCGCTTTGTGCTCTCCATCATGCGCCATCAAGATCCAAGAGGAGGCATTTCAAACAGATCCCCACAGCAGCTGATTTTTCCTGATCTGGACGTCTTCATTCAAGAAGAACAAACTAATCAGTGAAATCTGTAGAAGAATAGAGGACGGAGGCGGCTTCAGCGGTCGTCTGATGTGTGAAATCAGTTGTTAAAGGATCTCTTTTGTTTTGGGTGTTTGAGAAAACTGAGTGACTCTTCAAGCAAATATTCAACAGGGCTTACATGCTAGGTCAACGCTTCCATGTATTTGATTGAATAACGGCGTCTACAAACCGCAGTCTGTTTATTATGAAGGGAATCATCGGTAAACTGCACATAGTTGCGTATGCAGATGTGTGACACAGTAAAAGCAGGCGAGATTAACAAAACAAAGGAAGAGTCAGAAAGCAGCAGAGAGACAAGAGAGACTTCAGCGGTGTGGAGCAAAGTGACAACGGGAGAGTAAAGTGAGTCTGAAGCAGAATAGAAAGGAGGCAGGGCTGGTTAAGAAAGCAGAGCAGCCGCGACGTGAAGTTAACTCCCAACTCATATCTTCCCTTCGCAGGCGAGCGCAGATAAATAAATAATCTGTCCGTCCCTGAAAGCCTAATTAACCCTGCCGTTTTGGGCGCTGGTAATTTCTCATTGATGATAATGACAGTAATTAAATGGGATTGATACTTTAAGGCAATTTAATCATGAGGCAGATGAGAGGCAAGATGTTTGCGGTTAGCTCTGAAGACCAACGCTGCATGAGGCGAATTCAAAATGCGGATGAGTTTACTTCTAACATCTGCCAGAAAGTTCAGCGCGAGTCTGTTGTCAGTGACGCTCGGCTGATTCACTCGACAACGCCAGATGAAGGAGTAGATCTGCTTGTGTCACACTTTGTGGGAAATAAATCCAAAGCAGATTGATTTAGTCACTGGAAAAAAAAAAAAGGAGGAGGAAAAAAAAAAAGGCCTCCTAAAGCAGCTTTTTTTTTCTAGTTTCTCACTAAAATTCAAGACCAGAGACGTGTAGTTATCAGAGGATGGCATAAATTATTTAAAAGGTCGCAGCGAGTTGTGTACAAGGCAAATATGAGAACAACACATGATGAAATGAAGATTAATGCTCAGCTCAGCGGTTACTGTTTGAGCGGCCGACCTTTTCGTGCCGCTGCGCTCGTCGGCTTGCAGAAGAGAGGTCAAGATCCAGGATGCCTCATGCTGCATGTGTTTTAGTGTTTAATCCATGCTGGCAAAGGTGGAGCAGGAGACGAGCTCAGTGGGTTGGAGAGTCGGAGGGGTGGAGGCGTCGAGGGTAATGGCACTGAGAGGCTGGCAACAAGAGGGTTTCAGTCAATTTGCTTCCATTATCCTTTGTTTTGGCTGGTCAATAACTTTATATAATCAACTATCATTTGCAATAAGGGCAAGAGAGCAACATGTAACAGCGCCGCTAATGAAGACTGAAGAGAAGATATTGATATCAACACCTACTCGGCCTCTCAGCAGGTGGTTATTGTTCCTGACCTCCGCCGGGTCTATTCGAGGCTGCGGATAATGAAGGTCACACGCTTGACTTAAAAAATGCCAGGAGTTGCTTGACATTTTCAACCTGCAAAACCACTCGATGGGGAATTGTTGCTCAGACGACTTACAATTACCGCAGTACGTCTTAAATGTCTGCTCACTTCGCCGGTTTTGTTTGTAATGGATGAATTGGCTTGAAGCTGCTGAGATCTGTGTGACAATAGACTTCAAAATAGAGACCATTAGACCAAACTGCACAAACAGGCCGACTGTCAGGCAGGTCGTAAACAAATCCCCTTTCTCTCTGCCACTCGTTTAAAGTGAAAGCTGCAGCATTAAAGGATAGTTTCTTCGGGTTCGTCGGGTCTCTCTTCAAACAGCACTTACATGCCCATATGTACATTGACAGGTTTATTGTTTGCTGTAAATTCTTCTCCTTATTTGTGCTCTGTGTGACTAAACCTGCAGGGAATCAAAGAGGGAGTTTAAACCACTGCTTTTATATTAGCTACAGCTGCACTCAAATGCATTTTTCCATAGAACGAGCGCCCCACCAGACCCACCGTTGTGGAGATGCTCTGACTCCATCACAGTTTGAACCTTCTCAGAGTCGCTTAGATCCTTCCAACACATCTGCTTCAAGGACTTGACTCATGTATCCCACCTGTTGGCTGGTGTTATTGTCGTGACATTTTCAACATTTCACTTCAGATGTCAGTGGTTTCAATGTGGCTGATTAGTGTGCAGTCGTGACTGGATAATCCAACCCTTAACAATCCTAAACCTGCTATCTGATAGGCTTTAAAGAAAAACCAATAGAACCCATAAAAACAGCCTTAACATAGCGACAGCCTTGGATTGTGACTCCCACATGACATTTAATGTCACCAATCAGGATGACGGCGTATTATCTGACTGAACAATCCCACAGATTGGCTACGTTCACACTGCAGGACTTGATGCTCAACGAGGATTTCTTTGTGACTTCCTTCACGTTTCCACTTCAATGCGACTTGTATGTGATCTGCTGTGTGAACTTCATACGAGCCAAAAGTGTCCCGCATGCGCACAAGAGGACACGACGACGTCACACGCAGCGAGCGTGCTCAGTGTTTATGGAAGTAAACATGGATGGTAACGGTGGAGCGTATCTGCCACTCCCCCGCCGCCACCGATGGAGGAAACAGAAGTGTGAGCGCTAACTAAACTAGCATCAGCAGCCAAGTACTGCCTGTGTGTTCTGGACACTTCCACCCCGTCAGAGCGCTGCCCCGGGGTGGAAGTGTGCCCCGACCACACCAGATATTCATCATTAATTGGGCCTGAATATCCAGAGAGCAGAAAGTGCTACTGGGACCAGAACTACTAGTTATTATAACAACTATAATTAACAACTAATGAGCCTTCCAGCATCAAGCCCTCCTTGTATCTGGACCTCCGTCTTGACAATCCGACAGCCTTGATATCCGACATAGAAGACGGTTTTACATTTAGTGTCGGGTTATTGAGTCACGACTGTATTTAAATGACAGAATTTACTGATGACAAAATAGAAATCAAAAACTGTGAAGTTTACTGTAAACATGTTGGATTTTGAAGCACTACTTTAATTCTGACTTTTGTTTGGGATTTGATTTTTCTAATGCGCTGGGCAGCTGTAACAGATGTCAGTCTGTGTTTTACTTTAATATAATGTGGTTTAGATCTGATGGTAAAACCGACTCTTTGCTTTTCCAGAGGTTCACATCAAGGCCCAGTTTTGGCTTCAGTGCTCACCTGCTTCAGGATGAAGCTGTCTTGAAATAAACATTTAGTCCTCCTCCCTGTGCTGAGCTTCAGATAAGAGAGTTTAAAATGATTCATTCCTGTGAATATATTACTATTCTGCTCCTGGGTTTTTTTTTATTTGATTTTGAATTCCAAACTGCAGATAACAAGACCACAATTCCTCTGAGTGCTTCTTCTTTGAGATGCTTAAAACAAGTCAAAATCAATCTGATCCTGTTTTGCAGCACAATGTCTCTGTCTTACCATCTTAAACATACCTGAGTGAATGTGAGGAAGTCTTCTGTTTGACCAACTTACTGCTGACGTGGAGCGATGCTGTGCGGAGTGACAGGGAAGGTAAACCGGCAGCATGCAGCCACTGTGGTTTGAAAACTGGGAGATTCCATCTTGGATGTATAACTAACACAGATGATTTATTTGTGTCCTCTTATTCTGTTTAGAGACCTGTTGAACATCCTGAATAGTTTTCATGGACAGAGACACTTTATTTAGACCTCAGTGTGTTAGAATTGTGTGTGAATAAACACCTTAACAGAAGAACTTTACTCAGGAAGATGAAACCACATCTAGCTACAAAAGACCTAAACGAACCCCAATGTGTCAGGGGGAGCACTGACGACTCACATAACGAGGGGGAGGAGCAACAAACACCCAACTGAAACCAAAACCCAAGTGTCCTTCAGGATATCAGTATGTGGAACTCCCAACTAGTCAGTCAGAGCTGATGAAGCCTCTTGGATGAGAGGTGGAACGTCTTCAAGGAACTCAAGCAGGTCCAGTTAATCTACGAGAACAAGCATGACCTGGAGGACTGAGAAACTCCACAGACACCTTAATAGAAGCATTACTATGGTTTGGAAAAGGCATATTTGTTTTCATTTTTCATTATGTGAACTCGGAAAAAGCACAAAAAAGGATCGTATGTGCTAAAAATCCTTCTTCGCACAGGTAATTTTTTGTAAATCTAATTTTCTGTGAGATAATAGGTGTCAATTCCCAACATTTCTGTCATTTAAATCCCAACCGCACCCTGTTAGAAGAAAATTAAGCTTAGGTTTAATGGTTTGTATCTCAGCAAACCAAAAGAAAAAAAAAAAACAATGTGGATGTGTCATTACAGCTTCAGTTTCTGTCTGCCTGGAGGCAGAAGCACAGAATGACAGACGCTGTGGATGCTGTCAAACAGGAGTCTCTCCATAGATGTGGCGTCTTTTCACCTGCCTTCATGGGCCAGCGGTGCTGTCCGTGGTGCTGAAAACGCGTCCTTTATTCTGATCTCCTGCACACAACCAGTTAGTTGTTGTGTCCTTTTGTAGATTACTGTAATTGTTTGACACTAAAAAACTGTTGTTTAAAGTCTTGAGGTGAGTTTTCCTCATCAGCGCTGGCACGGATCCAGGCTTAACGGCGATAAAAACTAACGAGTGCAGAACATTTACTTATCCTTGAACACATGAAACTTTTGTTTGTTGTTGTCGTCAGATATCACACACACACACA